TACACGTGGAGAAGGCGAATTCAAGTAATCTGTCTTTATTAACCGTTCTTATTATGCAGAGATTGTATATAAATATAAAACTCAATTTTAGAATGTATTTCATCTATTTGAAACTATTGGTTTCAGATTCTTTTGACTTTTCAACTCTAATCATCAATTTTTTAGTTGAAAAGATTCATTTATCAATTGTCAAGTAATAATCTTAACTTAGTAAATGGAAAACTACACTTCAGTAAATCATTTTCTAAATTAAAAACGTGTTAAAGTATTAAATTCGATCTAGTCATTGATTAGGTGGTGAGTTTTTTTCCACCTAAAAAGAACAAGCTATTGGATGTTTGAATAATCTTTGAAATTTACCCACTTTTCCACCTACATTAAGTAAATGAATCATTCAGTCTAATGGAAAAATGTTATTACTTTTATTCTTTTTTTATTTTGTTGTTTAGATTTATACATTTCCGATTACCGATTTAATTTATTCACAATTTGAATACAACCGCTTGTTACATATTTACAGCATATAAACTTCAGTTGCTTAACCAAACAGATACTTATCGAGTATCAGTGGTATATATATATATATATATATATATATATATATATATATATATATATATATATATATATATATATATATATATATATATATATATATATATATATATATATATATATATATATATGCGTAGCAGGATAGTGGGTAAGACAGTAGTTACTGGATATATAATTTATTTTGTCCAATGGTTATCGATTTAATTTCCTAATCTAACCTTGTGTTTCCATTGTGTTTTAAATAATTGATTAAGGGAAACAAACTAAAAATACATCCAATAAATAAATAAGTTCATAAATAATGAAAGGATAGACCAATTCTTCATGACCTTTTATATTCAATGTTAGCTGTGTTTCTATTTGCTTATTTTCTTAAAAAAACAGTAATATTTCAATAAATAACTTTTAAATAGTTAACGTAACAGCAAACATTTTCTATAGTTTATGTCACGAACTGAAATTAGTTAAACAATCATCGAAAATCAAGTTGCACTAAACAGCTATTTCCTTCCAGTATATGACTCTTCAACAGTGTACATCCACGGACCACCGAGAATCAGATAAATAACCTTTAGATTCCATGGTGAACACCTAAGTTTGAAACTAACTTAACCAAGATCTAGTGGTTAGTATTTCCAACTTCAATCAGTTTTCCATATTGCAAAACCATCTTTCAATGCCATTTCTAGGTAAAACTGCCTCATATCTTATACAGTTAAACTTTACTGGCTACATTCTTTCACTTGAATTATAGAAATTACCTCCCAAATTTAGTCACTAGGAAGCATGTGATTACCAGTAGTATAAACAATCAAAAGGTTAATTGCTCATTGCAAGAATTAAAGGTCTTGTGTTAGATTCCCAGTGGTCTGTGGGTGTGCATTGATGAGGAGTCTCATACTAAGACGGAAAAACTGTATAGTGCCTCCTAGTTTCTAACGATTATCTAACTTTGTCTCGCAATGTAAACTATAAACAAAGTAATGTTCACCTCAACAAAAATATTTAAATCATCACTGCTAAGGATAAAATGTATTAAAACTACTTCTATAAGATATTTAGACTCATCAATAAATAAATGTTTCTTAATATTGTTACAACTATTAACAGGTTTACTATTGAACCAATAATAATAATAATAATAAAAATAATAATAATAATAATAAAACCGAATACATCAAATAGTACACAATTTATTCTTCATTTTCTGACATGATTTCATAAGGTTATTTCAATTTTAATAAATGAATATAGAAAAAAAGTAGTCAATATGCTTTTACTTTGAAATGTATACACTTCCTTATTACATATCTAATGAGATATATTTTTTTAATAGGTGATAATATTCACCAAGGGTTTATCTCAATTAGGGTAATGTTGAGAATCAAAAAGTATTAAACAGTTATTTTGTTTTAGTATCAAACTTCTAGACAGAGCTCACTTATGACATCAACAATGATCAAGTCGTGAAAACTTCAGATTATGTGGTTTTACTGAAGAGTCCCATACTAAGCAGAAACAACTATCTAGTGGACTCTTTTTGCAATAGTATCTTAAATGTGGTCATTCCATAAAAAAATATCACTTATAAATTAAAATAATCTCTACTAAACTCATTAAACCAAGTTAGTTTTTGGTAAGGTGACTGATTTCACCTGTCACAATGTTTCTTCCTTTTAATCATTTGAGAATCTGAGTATCTGTTCGTTTCTAGATTCAATATTTCTTTTTATCATATGCTTAGTTAAATAACTCAATGGAGAAGAGAAACACATTAACGTACACATATCAGTCATAATGACAAAAAAAGAGAAAGAAATTTTTTCTATTTTTATACATAACTATGAATAGGTGTCATTCCATTCCAATAGTGTTTTTCCCTTAGAAAACAGGTATATGATGTTTAGAATAAATGTGTCACGTTCAATGAATGATATAATTTATTAGTCTTTTTTGTTAGTTTTTTTTTATAATTAGTTGTACATGATAGAAATATTGATTATCTTGTCTCTGAGCGAAATCATTTTATCTTAGGTGAGTGATAAGATATATATGCTTAATGGTGACTGGTTTTAAGATGTATTTCTAGAGTATGACCTGTAAAGCTAATCAAGTAGAAAGTGAAGCATTTGACTTGAATATGGAAAAAAATAATCATATACTCAGTACTACGGCGGCTAGTATAAGTTAACATTAAATTGTAGATGAAAGCTCAAAGACGAAGTAACCCAATATAATTTAATAGTTGAAATTTAACTAGCGATGATATTCAAGACGCACGTTTCACATCATTTGGGGCTCATCAACTGAACCTGAGTGTTGGTTTTTATATTCAAGCTTAAAAACAGTACCTTTCACTTCAAACGCCCAATGTCCACTGAACTACTCAGTTCATATAGCCATCAAATGGTTCAACGAGTATTAGAACACAATTAAGTGTTTGTAGGATCATATAGCCACTACTCATTACTGAAATCGATCATTCTCTTATGCCTTATGAACACTCTTATTAAGTTCCTTAAATATTCTTATTTAAACACAAGTTTTGCTAAGGTCGGATTGTGTCTAGCAATCTAATACAGGAAGGACGTTTCAGCTTATTTATTAAAATATTATGGTGAATAACAGTTGGTTGTTAATTGTCGAACATTGGCCACGAGATGTCTGGAACAACTTTTAACACTTCTGATGAGGAATAAACAGACGAATGGTGTAGTTTTTGTATTGATTCACATGATGAATGTTATTTAGAACTACATTTGTTTTAATAGAAATTAAAAATGAATACGGTAATGGGATTACTTGATTGGATTAAACGTTCGAAACATTTCGATCTGACAAATAAGCGTAATTTTACACCGAATGATCACGGTGTTGTTGTCATATTTTCTATTTCAAATGCTAGTAGAACCTTAGGCCGGGTGGCACAACATTTTAACACTTCCGAGACTAAGGGCAATTAGTAGGAAACTGTGAACAAGAATTACGTGCTAGCTAATATGACATATTAGTGAGACCATCTATCACATAGGGTTCCAACTACGACTGAGTGATAACGCTTCTATAACGACATTAGATTCGAATGTCAGTTTAATTATTAGATCCTTCGAGATTGTAGTAACGATTACTAACTAGTTCAAACACTAAATCCATAACTCCCTGCTCATTAATTTCAGATATAAGTAACTGATACCAGTCTTTTTCGTGAAGACTGTCATAGTAAGTGATGACCCTGTTTGGAAAGTTTTTATAGTGTTATTTTCCTCAGTGAATTTTGTTAAGACCAATTTTGTTATAATTGTCATTAGTATTTATGTCAGTGGTGATGGTAATCTATTTCTTATTTCAAGTAGTAACTTTCATACTTAAAAGCTACATCTAAAAAATGCTTGTTCCATCATAGTATCAGATGTAATTAACAAAAGATTAAATCACGGTAATGTCAACATTATGTAAATGACTTCCGCCAGATGGATGAAACTAATTTAGAAAAGAAACGTTAGTCGCATTTCAAAACACTAGTATTCAGTTGTATGGTATTTTACCATTTATTACCTATGAAATCATGTTACAAAGGGAAATAACAGATAATGGATATTACGAATAAATTTCGTTGACCGATAGAAGACAAAATAGATTTTCTTCAGTTCCAAAGAAGGAAAAAATTTGTTCTTATCACTAAATCTAATATCAGTATGTCATCAAACATGAATCATTTTACTTTTTCACTGATCAAAAGTATAAAATAACTATTTTCGACTAGTTAATTTTTGTCAGTAAGAGACTGCAGAATATCGTTGAAATCATGAATCAATAAAACTTAGACCAACACTGAAAACTTGGAAGGACTGAACGACTGTTTCGCCCAAGTATGGGACGCCTCAGTAGTGGATTCACCAAAGGACTACAGCTTTGCTTGAGAACGCTTAACTTCTAGACCGCTGACCCAGCATAAAACGATTTTAACGTCTGATTCCAACCAATTTATGACACTATGCAACCATCTTCTAATGCCTTCGATGGGTAACTGCATCACGTTATCTAGCCATTCAAACACCTCTCAACTGTTATAAATTTTCTGACTTTCAGAAATAAACGTATTTCGCAAAATACATCCTATTTAATGCAAGTTTGCACACGATTCAGTTGCAAGAACCGAATTAAATTGGTTAAGGTTTAGAAATATAAATCAGCAGTTCAATCTCCGGAACAATTGTTCCGTTGTACTATTTAAACTTGGATTAATTTTAATTTGGTTGTTTGTTCTCTGAAGAAGTGGCTTACACTAAGTCACGAAACGTCAGAAAACTTAATTTTTCTACTCATTTGGATATTACAAATATATTATTTATTTATACTTAAAGTCGTTTCTTACTACTGCATACCCGAAGAATTCTACATTTTTAAAACACCCCCAAAGAGCACAAAAGAGGATGAGACAACAATTCCGTTGTAATAATAAACATTTATCGTCAGTAAAATTAATATTGTATGTATATGTACATGGTGTCATTTATATGGAAAATGTATTGAAATTAAAGTAAATGTTTCACAAGAAAAAAATACGTTCGTGCTCATAGTCTGGTAAATTAACTTTTTGATGTATAGTTTACATAATTTTGTTAGACTTTAGAGGAGGCCATATTGTTTCCATTAGATATATTCAAATTCCCTAATGCCTCGATCGTCTCTGAAACTTGGAGATTGTTGGAAGGTAAAATATTAGTAACATCTAATTTTTCACTTGACAACTGCGGACTGTGACATCCAGAGTCTGGAATGTTCTCTTTCTGTTTCGAAACAGGTTTTTCTAAAGTGTTACTGTTACTGAGACTTCCATATTTAGTCCACTTTCCTTTACTTTGACGAAATGAAACCTGTAATCGCCTACCAGATAAAAGTGATCCGTTCATTATATCTATAGCGTTTTGGGCACTTTGAAAATTACTATACGTAACGAAACCGAAGTTTCTGGAGGAATTTGTTTTGTAATCTTTCGGTACAGAAACATTTAAGACTGGTCCAAACTGCGAGAACAGAACAAATATTTGTGCTTCAGTCATGTTTCCAATATTATATATGTATACAGATGTAGATTCATTTTTGTCAATTTTAGTGGATTTCGGCCGACTGAAATGGGAAAAGTTGTTTGATTGCTTACAAGTCACATCAGATATCTTAGTAGGTAAATTGGATTGTTGCTGACTTGAAGTAGGATAAAATGTATTTTGAACGTTGGTAATTATAGGACAACCTTGGACTGAATTTCCATAACTTTCCAACTGATTTGTACATAAAGTATTCAAAGGGATTTGATTAAGATAGTTCTGTTGAAGAGGTAGCCAAAGATTTGGATAAGGTTGTTGTGAATAGAAGTACGGGGCCAAGTAACCAGAAGTTACATTTAAGGCAGAAGAGGGATTCTGATACTCATTATTGGAGTAATCATTACTCCATAACAGACCCTGTGGATTTAGTTGTGGTTGGATAACAGGAGATTGCAATAGTGACCCCTGGACAGAGTGGGCCAATGCTGTACATAAATTGTTAGGAATGTAAGGTAATTGTGGACAGGAAGGTGTATAAACTTCAGGAACTGAAGGCTTTGACTGCGGTGATAAGTGAGCAGACAACTGACCGTTTCGCAGATTTTGTTGATGCAAAAATGGTCTTCTGAAGTTGTTTCTGGATTTTGTCAAACTAACCGATTGTCGATAAGGTGGAGTGGCAAACTTTATAGACAACATCTGATTATCAGTAGATCCGGGCCAGACACGTGCATCTAGAGAACGCTTTGCTGCTTCGGCATCAGCAGGATTCTCGAACAGTACGTAGGCACTCCCTTTAGAAACATTCGTATCGTGATCACGCAATATACGACACTGGACAATAGGACCAAACTGTCCAAATTCTGTTGTCAAATCGTGTTCGGTGAGTGTAGGTGGGAAATTTTTAACGTATAAATTTGAGCTTTGACAAAGTCGTCCTTGCAACTTAGCTAGTGAAACTTTCAGAATCTTATCGGCGATTCGGTAACCATTAAAGCGTGTGATAGCCTTATGAGCAGAGTCGGAATCTTCGTACTCACAAAACCCAAAGCCAAAGCTGGACCCGTTATTTCGGTCTCGAATTATCCGGCAGGTTTTAATGGCACCGACAGATGAGAACAAGTTGGTCAAATCAGCATCTGTAACTGATGTTGGAATGTAGTTGATGATTAGGTTTCGGTCGTGATATACAACCATCTTTGGAGCTGAAATAGGGAAAATTATTCTTCAGTTTTAAACGGATAACATAACTAAAGGGTGAAAATGAGATAATGGATTGAAACCAATACTTTAAAATGCTTACGTTTTGTGTACCTTCGCTGTTTCCAATTTTACGGCTTTTTATCCAGCTTACCTACGCTGGATTTCGAAAGGCAGAAGTTTCAGCTTATGTAAATCTTACAATCACATGTAAATTTACAGTAGACGTTAGTTTGCTTCAAATGTTTTCGTTTTTGTAATGCTAACAGTACAGAAGACAAGTCTATACCGATTCAATCAAATTGTTCCAAACTAGATGATATATTTGTTTATAAAGCAGCCTATTTGAAATATGAGTTTCAAATGAATGATGCTACTCTCCTGTAGATAATTTTAGTCGGTTATAACGGTTTTAATATACAAGCTATGCTACTTAAGACTTTAAATAAGGTTTCAAAGACCAAAAACCTGCACTCTAAATAGATGTTTTCTCGAGCTTGTTGTACAAACTAGACGCATCAAGATACATCGCAAACCGTTCGGTTACTACACCAACGCCCACTTAAGAATCGCATTCAAAGACTGGTTACTATTCCTAAGAACACTTAGAGTAGTGGATTGGTGATTAGGTCGCCAGGCCACTTATTACTGAGATCCAAGCTTTAAATCCACTTTACTTAAATGGTTTGGTAAGTCAGGTACCAAAGCTAGTATTTATACGTGGGGTATAAAATTAAATATGTAAATTCTCACCTAGTTACTGAGCTTCATTTTCAAATAACATTCAAATCTTTAACATAGCATCTACACACAAGTTAATCTGGCGGTTTCGATCTGGGAATGTTTTAGCATTGGCAAAGCGTAGTAAGAACATTTGCATTTGGATACGTGACTATACTAGTCGCTTTGCTGCTTTTGAGATGTGTAAATGTTAAGGACTTGAACACTCTATCTTAGATTTGACTAAATACTGCCGCTGTATTTCCAAAAATTACCTAGACATTATGGGATTTAAAACGTCTATCGTAGTTCGTCTAGAATAAATATAACATTGACTACTTGCTTGATCTACTTCGTAGTATGACTTGCTAACCTCCCGATGAGCATTTTCGAAAATTGTCGCTATATATCGATTGGCTTTTCGAGGTATTTAATAACAATTTAATTAATTTTAACGTTACTATCATTAATTATGATCGTTAAGATGACGATAACTATTGGAATTAACTTAGCAATTGACGAGGTCATCTGTCTGCATAAAGATTTTTAAGCGTCGGGCAGAGGCAACACCTATAATATCTACATCCGCTGAATTCTTAGGGATCAAAGTTACCACCATCTAAGAGAAAAACCACCCCAATCAACTAATATATTGGAATAATCGGTCATCGGCTTATATTTCAAAAGAAATACTGGGTCATCAAGATTTAACGGAGTATGACATCCCGTATATCTAATACGCAGACGATATTAAAGTAAGCCCGGTAAATTAATAAGAAATCTAGTGCAGAACTACAACAAATTTCAGTGACATTTGAAAACATGAGAACACAAACTTTAATACAGTATGCATCTCTTGATTTCAACACATTTAACTGGCACATGGTCTGAGAGGAAGGAAGTATTTTATGGGAGATGAACACTTGTTATACATACTAATATATTATAATACATACAGACCTCAAGAAAATACGTGGTGTCAAAACGTGGCTTAAGTCGTAATCCCGCCTTTAGGTAAGGTCATTATCATGATATCCAATATATCAACCACCTATTTGACAAGCTAGTCTGAACCGACTAATTTCTTTGCCCTCGATAACTCCTTCAGTACACTCAGAAACTAAGTAAGTACAATACTTCTCAGAAATAATCAATATAGAATGCTATCATTATCGCTTTCGACAGTGAATTCCATAGTTCATAGACCGGGAAGTTTAGTCCTAACGTGGTTTGCATTTCTCAAACTTTTGCTGTGTTCTTACGCAACAAAAGTACCATTTCTGATCTAAACAATCTATGCTGAGCTATAAGTTCAGTAGATTATTTTTTTTGAGTTTCACCCAATTTAATAGTTAACTGCCGTTTTGCCTCAGCTTACTATTCGGTTTATTTTCAGTTTTCCACGTAAAGGCTATTTCATTTTATCTCATCCGTTTTTATACATTTTTCCCGTTTTAGTGTGGTTTTTAGTGTATTTTTAACGGTCTTAAGCTTTGATACTATCTCTAGCACAGTTTACGTAAATACAGCCATGAAAAATTCATGTAAAAGACCTGGATGCCGTTTCGCTGTTACATCTGGCATGCAGTGTGACAACTGCAAAGGTTGGTTTCACGAAACGTGCACAGATCTTACGGCAACGGTTTACAAGAGACTCAGTAAATCGGACCGTGAGTGGATGTGCGTTACGTGCAACACGGATGCTGTAGTGCTGCTGAGCAATATCATTGTTCTACTGACAGGTCTGCGGAACAAATTGTCAGTAAACTTGGAAACAGAGAGCCGTAAAATAGGTAGGCAAACGAGGGCGCGTAACGAAAATAAGAACAGGGATGTTGACAAGTCAACCATCGATGGAACGCGCATTAGCACTAATGATGACATGTTGAAACTCAGCACCATCATTACGTCGACAATAATTGATTCCCTCACTAAAATTGGATCTCCCAGTTCAGGGTCCTCAAACGCAACAGTGGTTCCTAAAAACTCTGCAGGTGACTGTACTCACGCCAACAGAGCTAATAAGGACCAGGTGTCACCGTCCAAGGTTGACATCCCAAGTGTTGTACGGACATCAACTGGTGCTTTGATCGCTCAGTCTACCCCCAAAAATGTCCGCCCGGTTATTAAAAAGCCTACGATTCAAAAACCTGCTTCGACCTCCAAACAACAACGTACTGAACCTGAACGCACTGGAAGAGCTGGGAAAACAGCAACGGTCCGTGACGACTCTCTCATAATCATGAACCTCATAGACAATCCTGACCTTCCTCTCAGTTTGCAGGACAAAAATGACAGGATGCTTTGGGGTGAACTGAACAAAAAGCTCGAACTCCCTAGAATAGAGCCTTTGACGTTCACACGGCTCACTCGGGGAAAGGATTCTAAACATCAAAATCACCCGAGACTACTCCGTGTAACACTCAAGAATGCTACCGAAGTAGAGGATGTCCTGCTAGCCAGTCATCTACTGAAATCCGATGGGAACGTCAGAATACTGCCTGACATACCATATTCTGAGCGAAATCTCATCCGAAACGTCCCTGAAGATTCTCGAAAGAAGTTTTTCCGCGGAAGAAATATCATCGTGCAAGGTGTACCGGAAAACATGGACCCTACTCAAGCAAACTCTGACATTCGGGAATGGAAATTCATCAAACAGTCCTTGAGGCTTAAAAACATACTGTCTCAGCATGTGATGAGACTAGCCAAGAAGGATGGGGATCCTAGACCCCGACTAATGAGAATAACTTTTCCATCCTCCCATATGGCGGCTGCAACTCTGGAAGCATTTCGTGTCAACAGACGTCGGTTGCCAACTGGGATCCATATGCACCCGGATAGGCCATACGACGCCAGGATCAAGCACAAAGGCAAGCTGGAACTGACCATTCCACTTGTGGACTGTCTTCAAGACAAAAAACGTGTAAAGGACAGGGCCTACCAATTTGACAAAACTTATATAGGTGGGTTACCTGTCCACTCACGCAAGGCTCTCACAGATAAACAGGAAGAAGCTCACGCGTTTCAAATTGGAAGCATTAACTGCTTATACATGAACGCCGCGAGTCTACCAAATCAAATGGATGAACTAAGTGAACTTAGCAACGCTAATAAAGTTCATCTGATAGGAATATCTGAAACTTGGATATCTCCTCAGTATTCGGACCAGGAGCTAGCAATACCTGGGATGTCTCTGTTTCGCAATGACAGAAAAACAGGAATTGGGGGTGGAGTAGCCCTATACATAAGATCTGGCCTGGTGGTACATCAAATCCACAACCACGAGTTTGACAATCTTGAGGAATCCATATGGTGCTCTATGAGATTGTCCACTACTTCGAGGTGCCTAGTCGGAGTCATATATAGGAAGCCCACTGCCGACATCGAGTATGACAGTCGCATGCTGGAGGGACTATCCCGCTCTACGCGTCTCGGCTTCACTCATATCCTGATCCTAGGGGACTTCAATCTTCCTAGAGTCAACTTCGCGGAACATACGTATACTGGAGGTGAAAATTCAATCGAAGCTCGGTTCTTCAACCTCATTGAGGACTTGGGACTACACGAAAATGTGAAGTCGTACACTCGTTGGAGGAACGGTCAGACACCGTCGCGCTTAGACTGTGTTTTTACAAATGAAGAATTTCTAGTCGACAACCTCTCAATTCTGGCTCCCCTGGGGAAAAGCGATCACGCCGTTATAGCCTTCAGTTTCGTCAGCAAAACAGAGCTAAGATATCCCGAGAACAACAGGCGCTGGAACTTCAAACGGTTGAATGCGTCAGCTCTACAGGATTATCTACAACAGGTGGATTGGGATGTTCACCCTCAACTTGATGTGGATGCTCATTGGGACTCCTTACTGCGCACGCTCTCATGTGCTACTAAGCAGTCAGTTCCTCAAACGGTCCCCAAAAGGCACAAGCAACCTACAATCATCAAAAAACGCACTCTTCGTTTACTAAGCCGTAAAAGGCACTGTTAGACAGAATACAAACGAACCAACAACAACGGCGAGTACAGGCAATACAAACATATAAGGAACATATGTACGAAGGCTATAAGAGAAGACAGGCTTCAGTACCAGTTAAAGCTTATGGATAAATTTATTTCCAATCCGAAAAGCTTATTCCGTTACGCAGCCTCTCTTCGTCAAGCCAAAACTGGAGTTTCTCAACTGCTAGGTCCTAACGGCCCGACAGATAATGACGGTGACGCCGCTAACCTTCTGGCTGAGCACTACTCCCGGACATTTCAGCCGACCCACATCAACTATACTGATGTCGGCTCTGTCTGCAACTGCACAGGACTTTCCGTAGTGAAACTGAGCGCTGACTTGGTGTTCCGTAAATTACAACACCTAAGAACAGACACTTCTCCTGGTCCAGATATGGTCCACTCTGCTATACTGAGGGAAGCAGCTTCAATCCTGGCAACACCGCTTAGCGTGATGTTCTCACACTCGCTAAGTCGGGGCAAACTACCGGATATTTGGAAGCTGGCTCATATCACACCAATCTTCAAAGGAGGTCGACGCAGTGAACCTTCAAGTTACCGACCGGTGGCCCTTCTCTCTATACCTTCAAAGATCATGGAGTCCCTGGTATACGATGATATACATGACTATCTGCTGTCCTTAAATTTCTTCTCACCCCAACAGCATGGTTTCAGGAAGGGTTATTCCTGTATGACGAACCTGCTGACCGCGGTGGACAGATGGACAAGCATCGTTGATCGCAAGGGGAAGTTAGACATTATTTACCTTGATTTCTCTAAAGCTTTTGATAGGGTTAACCACATATGTCTTATTAACAAGCTCAAACAATTGGGAATCAAACCACCTTTAATTGACTGGCTCAGTTCATACTTCACAAATCGACATTTTAAGGTCATGGTAAACTTCAATTTCTCACGCGCTATGGAATGTTCTAGTGGGGTCCCCCAGGGCTCAGTACTAGGACCTCTCCTCTTCCTGATTTATATAAATGATCTTCCTCAACAGGTAACGTCAGACATACTGCTCTTTGCCGATGACGTGAAACTTTGGAGAGAGATACGCAACCAAGAGGACATACAGGCACTTCAAGAGGATCTGACTCGACTTCAAAGTTGGGCAGATGATAACGGACTTACCTTTAACACTTCAAAGTGTAAAGTAGTCCATCTGCGACACGTCGCAGATTACAGTTACAACTTAGGAAACTCCTCTCTAGTAGTATCCCGAATCGAAAAAGATTTAGGAGTTCTGGTGCCCTACGACTTAAAGTCTTACGCCAACTGTGACAAAAATGCCTTTAGAGCAAGCCTTGCACTGGTAACATTGAAGCGCATTTTTGGTCAGTTTGACGGGAGAACTTTCCACATAATCTTCAATAGTTTCATTCGTCCCCATTTAGAGTACGGAAACATAGTATTCCCTCCTACACTCCAAAAGGATAAGGACACTCTGGAGCGTATCCAACGGCGAGCCACGAAATCAGTTCGGGGACTCAAATTTAAACCTTACGATGAGCGCCTCCAATCACTCGACCTTTACCCATTAGAGTATAGGCGTCTTAGAGGTGACATTCTAATGGCTTACAGTATCCTTAACACACCTGGACACCCTCTTAAACACCTACTTAAGCTTAGTCCCAACACTAACCTAAGGGGTAACACCCAAAAACTGGAGATACAACATAGTAGAACGGACTGCAGACACAATTTCTACTCCTTAAGAGTTGTCAAATGCTGGAACTCGCTACCAGCTGAGCTAGTCCAAGCAACTTCGCAGGAGTCCTTTAAGAGGCAACTTGATCTATTCTTAAGGACTAAGGATAGTATCCTACTATGATTTACCAATTCATTTTTTTTCTCTTTTATCGTTAATATACTTAGGTTCTTGCCTGGAGGTATTGGTGATCCACTGCTACTAGACACGGAAGCCTGGTAAGCGAAAGCTTCTTCTATTCCGTCCGCAACCATTTGAACCATTTGGACTTAAGCACTAAAAACTCAAGACCTTGCTTTCTTGTATCACAT